GGGGGGGGGGGGTCGTCTCAGGCTTCGTATGTAGAACAGTCAGGGGTGTTATCAAGCGACCTCGCTGAGACGGTTTCTGCCGCTGCAGGCTGCATGACGCTGCAAACGCATGCTTTCTTCACTGGTAAACATAACATCTCTGGATGCAGGACATGCATTGTGGCTCTTTGGATTCTTCTGCACCCTGACCTAAGACTCAAACACATGAGTCGTAGTAGCGTGGAAGAATAACCCCAACATGAACTTAGTGCACATAAATTAATATATATATATATNNTATGTATATATATATATGTATACTGTATACATATTGAACAATATACAATACATGCAACGTATCGTGTATATTAAACATATGCCAGAATGAATGCTCTCCGCATCCATCGGCTGGTGCGCTGCTAAGAGGCCGACCGGCGGGCACCAAGCCGGAGCTCGAGTGATGTAGGCCCCTAGGGTTTAGGGTTTAGGGTTTAGGGTTTAGGGTTTAGGGCCTTCATAACTAGAACAGGACTTTACCGTATGCCAGGCTTACAAACAAATTGAGGAAGCCGCAGGTATAATGTAAGTAGCTCTTCAGGCGCCTATGTGTGCTTCCCAACCTCAACCCTAATTACACCCTAAACCCTCAACCTCAGGGTTCCTAGATGTAGCGTTTAGGGGTTAGGGTTGGGGGTTTAGGGTTTAGGGTTTAGAGCTTGGGTGGTTTAGGGTTTAGGGTTCCTGGATTTAGGATCCTTAGCTAGTTGATTTGGAAATCTCGGGTCCGCCGATGTGTGCTTTAAGGTTTAGGGTTTGGGCTTTCCGTTTTGAATAGGTTCTGCTAGGGAACGTAGGATTTTGGATGTTTGGGTACTTCGAGTTTTAACATGTGGTGCATTGCGTGGTTGGAGAAGAATGTAGTTCCAATTCGCTCTCGAACCCGCAACGTAACTTGAATAGGGGTTTGGTGTAATCTTCTACTGATATTGTAATAAGGAAGCCCCCCAAAAAATACGATTGGTCCTTCTTTAGGGTTTGGTGGTAATATTATACTGTAGTTATATTGAGGAACCCCCCAAAACAGTATTGGTACTTCTTTAGGCCCCTACATTATTTCTTGGAAGCCCGAAGCTCAGAGCCCGCCGGAGAGTTCATGAGAGGTGCGAGTCAGGTTCACGTCAGTGCGCAGCAACCTGGGGAAGATGTCTGGGCTTCCCTGGAGCAGTCGAAGTAGACGGCAACAAATTCTAGATCCATCCATCCATCCATCCATGCAAGCATACATACATACATACATACCTACATACATACATACATACATACTAACATACATACATACATGCATACATGCAGATTGGTTCTTTCTTTTTGCTTCATACGTAGATGCATACGTACCTCGCAAGCCCTCGTAGCTCCGTGCTGAGCCAATCTCCCGCCTTGCGCTTCTTGGACTCGCTGGAAGAGGAGGAGGAGCTGGAAGAGTTGTCATGCGACCTCGGTTTGGGACTCGAGCCCGAAGCCCTAAGGCTTTAGGGTTTTAGGGTTTAGGGTTTAGGGCTTTAGGGTTTTAGGGTTTAGGGTTTAGGGTTTAGGGTTTCAGGTTTTAGGGTTTTAGGGTTGAGGTTTTTAGGGTTTAGGGTTTAGGGCTAATTCTTGTCCTCCCAAAGGCCTCTTCTTTGCATCCGGCGCGGGGGTGGCACGAGGCTCGCCACTTGGACTCCTTGGATGCATGATGTTGTTGAGTCAGGGTTTAGGCTTCGGTCTAGGGCTTCGGGTGTTACGATGTGGGATTTAGGGCATATGGTTGTTGGAGAGCCTTAAACCCAGTTCGCATGGATGCTGAGTATCTGCCTCAGACGTCCTACCGGGTGTTATAAGGGTTTGGCGAAGGCTTTCTGGTCTCACTGGCTTTTTGGGGAGGATTTGGGAGCGGTGGGTTCTTGAAAGCTGGGTCGTGGCAAAATGCATCCCACTACCTGTGGCCGGCTAGCTATTTTAAGGGTCCTCCTCGGTTTGAGTTCAGGGCTTTGGGTTTAGGTGCCTTTTGGTCACGAAAGCTTCGGGACCCAGAGACACCAAGCTGCCTTTGAATAAACCGTGAGCACACTTAAGAGCGCTTCCAGAACACGTCTGCTTGCGAAGGGTGCAGTGGTTGTTGTAGTCATTCTTCTCACATCAAAACGCCCCGAACTTTCTGGGTAGTTCTCTAAATGAGGGTCAATGTTTAGGTCCCTCCAAAATAGTACGGCACTCTTACAAAAATGGACCCTATACGGGACCCTAGTTTAGACAACTACCCTTATAACCCTAAACCCTAAACCCTAAATGTCGCGCCCCAGTCGCCTGGACGAGTCACTGTCACGAGCGGCAGCCTGCCCGGCAGGGAGAGTTTTGGAAGCCCCGAGGCTTTGAGCCCAAGTGCAGGCATGAACAAAAATCCTGGGTCCCAAGGATGTAGGTATTTAAAGGATCATGAGACTTAGTAAGTAGGGTTATAACTAAGGTAACTATACTTCTAACCCCAATTAGGGGACTTATAATCTTACTAAGTCCCATGATCCTCCAAGTAGTGAAAGAAACACCAACCACCAACTGACATGATAGTATCCATCATGACTTGAAAAACGAGACTATCGCCTTCCAAGTCATGCACTCCGTCAGATGTGAAGGACGGCTTGGGAGGAGCTGCGGCGTTAGACCATACATACGGCTCTGAAGGCTGCTGAGGGTACAACTTGTGGCGATACGTGGTTTGCAAGGTGTTCGACGAAAAGTACGTAAACCCAACGATATCAGGAAACAAGACGGCAAGAGTCGATAAAACCTTATAAGCATTCTGGCTCTTGCCACTTTGTGGTGGAGCCATGGACAGATCCTGCGCTCCTGGATGTTGTCCATCGTTCCTGGTGCCAGCACCAGGAGTGGGCTGCGGGCATTTATACCCCACACATGGGATGGGCCATATGGATCATATAAGTTGATATAAATGTGTTGAGGCTAAATGAGCCGGCTGCTGCCAGGAATAGTTGGCCATGGTCGCCAAAACGCCGCGCGGTCCGGAGCATTCCCTACCTGGTGCCAACCAGGCAGAGGGGCACGCTTCTTGGGCTTAAGAGAGCAACCCACATCCGAGATAATATGTTCATACGTTTGAACACTGGAGCGAGATTCTGGCTCCATGTGGCCGGATCCTGATGCGCTGCGATGCGGCCCCTGAGGAACCTGGTGTCAGAACCAGGCTGAGCAGCAATGGGGGCGCTTTGGCTTTGACCCGATCCACAAAGTGTGGCTTAAAGTACTTACCTCTGGCCGCATCAACTGTCATGCCTGTACAAGACAAGCATTACTTTTGCGAATGGCTACCAATTCAACTCGGCTCAGCCCGAAACAGCTGCGAACCATGCTAAATATCCCTAAGGGTCCATGTACCCAAATAGTATACACATTGGCCCTATATAGGGACTACATTAAGGCCAAAGTATATGCTATTTGGGTACATGGACTCTTAGGGTATTTTCCACACCAAGCACTGGCAAATCGGAGCCTCTGTGCGGTGGGTCGCCAAGGCACAGTGGAAAAGGTGCATCCGAATGCTCGTGCTCTGAGAACACTACAAGCCTTGCTCCTGAGCTCTACCTTGGCAGAAGCCACGCGTCGCGTTCTGATGGATGGGGGAGGCGAGTTAAGTGTCCATAGACGAAATCAAGGTGCATGTGCCATGGGTCTCTGGACTCTCTATATCTTTGCAGCACACATGCGCTTGCAACAACAAGCTCTGAGGCACGTGCTCGCAAAGTGAATGCGCATAGGTCCCTGGAGTTTGCATCCCACCATGTGGGCAAGAACATCTGAATCCGTGGGCTTAAGCTGTTTTAGGGCTATACGAGGCTTGTCCATGCTACTAGCCTTGTAGAAGAATTGGAGGTTTATGTATGGATCAGGATTATGGAAAGCCCCCTTGCAAATGTAGACAGGAGCCGCGCAGCCATCGACAAGATGTGACGAAAGGTCGCCGTCGGTCGAAAGGTCGCCGAGTTTTGCGGTTCTGGGAAGTCAAGCACTGTTCCCTCCCGGTCCCCCAGGGCACGCTGACTACAACTCACATGGACAGCGGAATGGCAGCACAGAAGCTACAGTGTGTGAGCGCAGGTCCGATTGGCCTTTCTGGCAACTCTACACACATAGCACTCCCCCCAAGTTGCGAGGTTCCATCAGGACCTCAGGACTTGCAAGCAAGGCCAGCGTCTCTTGCTTGCACGTTGGACGGGACGCTCCACAAGGATTGTTTTCCGCGGGATCTTACTTCTAATCTATAGTATGTAAACTCTGCAAGATGTGTATATATATATATATATAAATATGTACATATACATATATATATATATGTATATATATACTCACATACATACTTCTAGCCCAAGGCCATAAGATGAGAAGGCAGCAGCTGCGACTGCCCTACTGAAGGCAGCAGCTGCGACTGCCCTACTTACCAACACTCGAGTACTTCGAAGGCCATTACATTACCGGCCTCTATGAGAAATTGATCTAGTTGCGGCTGCCTTGTATCGGTTCTTTATAGAGCTTTCTTATGGGGTACAGACGGGTTTCGGGTTCTGGATGGAAAGCCAGCCTTTCGCAGATGGCGAGAGTCTAGCATAACAGGATCGCGGCGATTGCCAGCCATCGGCTTCTGAAACCTGTCTCTACCTGGACAAAACGGCGAGCACTGGGCAGCCAGGACCGCACAAGAGAAAAAGTGTGGACTTAACAGCCCTCGAAAACCAACCGTAGCTTCTTTTCTGGCCATTACTTGGGAGTAGGGTTCCAAACAAGGATCGTGGTTGTTATGTATTCTTGGGGGTCTGTAGCGTGGAGTAGGTAGAGGGTCGGTTCATGGCTTTCGATATTACAGTGGCCTCTGCTGCTTCTCAGCACCAGGGCAAAACCAAAAGGGCACCCTGGACTTCAAACCCTGAAACAACGACCCCGAGCAATTTAACCCGGCGGTTCCCGGCCTTGCCACGGAAAAGTATTGTCTGCTGTCGCTCCTCCTCACGCTGACGGATCACCTTGGTTTAGGAATTTGGTGCGTGGTGGCTGAAGATTTCAGGGGTTTAATTGAGTCCCGAAGCTTGTGGATGCTGGGAGGCGCGAAGCTGCTGGGGTGTCGGCCGTAGATTCAACAGCAGACGCAAGGACTTGTCTTCAAAAAGCGCAACAGATGGAAGCTTCTTGGACCTAAACCCTGTTTGCAGATCTTGTAGACCCCTAGAGTATAATATCCCAAAAAAGTTGGAAACCGGATTAAGGACAAATAGTGCTGGGATTTCTTATACGCTACTCTTAAGGATTGAGGCCATTGGGTTTCCAACTTTCGGGCTTCTACTCTAGGCCGAAACCCTGACAACAAAGACTCTCTAAGCTAGAGTATTGCTCCAAGCCTAGTAACCCTAAGTTAAGGTCCATGTACCCAAAATAGCATATACTTTGGCCTTAATGTAGTCCCTATTTAGGTACTTTGGGGCCAATGTACATACTACTTGGGTACGTGGACCCGTAGGGTAAGACTCATGGACGGGCAAGGTCCAGTCATCAGGTGATGATTTCGGACCCCAACACCCTCCCTATTAGAATAGGGTTTTGGGGGTTCCTTATTATAGTTATAGTATAATAGACCGCGAAACCCTATTCTAATTATCAAGGTTTATGAACTACCAGTCAAATTTCAGATCCGGCTGGCCTCTCGCACCATATCCTGAAAACATGCAGGCTGAGGCTGGGCTGGTAAGACACCACATGTTACGTTTCTCGGGTATCTGGCCCGAGGGGCACCAAATTAAATCTCTTGACACATGAATACCGACGGCGAAAGATGCAGCAATGCAGCTAATGTACCCCACCTCCAGCATATAGGCAGGCATTCGTGCGTCTATGTATCTGAACGAATGCATGCAGGCAGGCAGGCAGGCAGGCAGGCAGGCATGCATGCATGGGAAGAACGCAGTACGACGCTGCTGCGAGGCTCCTCCCCAGCAAGGATTCTATAGGCCGATTTGCGATACCCCTATGCCCTAAACCCCTCAACCTACAACCATCGTAAGTTTAAGGGGAGGGACCCCTATAAGGGACCCCTAATCCTAATACCCTATATACCCCTTATACACCCCTTATATAGTCTCATAATATATAACCCCAAGGGTCCCTTTAAGGGTCCCTCCTCTACCTTAAGAACCCAAAACCCACTTTTTTGTAGGTTCGATTATAAACCCTAATATGGGATTTATAGGGACCCTACAAAAAAGTAGGTTTTGGGTTCTTAAGGTAGTCCCTTGAAAGGCTCATGCTTCGCAGTCCTCGTCCGTGATGCCTTGCATCACCAACTCGCGCCGGATCTGCGAGGGAGGACGCTTCGGATGCTGGGTTCAGGGCGTTTAGGGTTTAGGGTTTAGGGTTTAGGGTTTAGGGTTTAGGGCTGATCTTGGGTTTCCCGTTTAGGCTTTTTCAAAAACATAGGTTTAAGGTGTATGAAAAAACATAGGTTTTAGGTTTTTTAATAACGAGGCTCTGGTCGTTTGATTTTATCTTTCGATTTGCTTTCGAAAACGATGTGCTGGTTCATCAAATCTGTGGCGGGTTAGGGTGCTGGGTCCGTGGGGTGTATAGGGCCCTCCTGGGCAAGCCCCAAATAAACTAAACCCCTAAACCCTATGCCCTAAACCCCAAAGCAGGTACTATGTTTATACTTGGAGCCTGTGGAACTGAGGGAGGCTCAGCTTACCTATTGCGCATTCCTTCAAAGGGTACTATGGGATTCTATAGTAGGGTACCCCGTTGAGGCCTGCTATAGGGTTCTATAATAGGGTCCCCTTTAAGGGTTGCTTTGAAGGGCTTCCAAAGGGATCGTATCACGGTCTTACAAGGTCCATGTACCTCTGCAGTAAACACTTAGGCCCAGGCCTCAAAGGGGTTCCTAGTATATGGGTAGTTGTCAAAATTATGGTCCCGTTTGGGGTACCCTAAATAATAGGTGCCGTATTATAATAAGGACCCAAGAGGGACCATAATTTTGACAACCACCCATATGGGTACTTTAGGGCCAATGTTCTACTATTTAGGTATATGGACCCTTAGGGAACTCTAATTGCTTTCAAGCCTGAGCCTCTAGGGAACCCCATGTATACAAGCAGTACTTACTTTGGATCCTGAAAGCCTAGGAATACTCTCTTCTCTGAGCTGCCTGGAGTCTTGGGGCATACCTTAAGAACCCAAAGCCTACTTTTTTGTAGGGTCCCTATAAATCCCATATTAGGGTTTATAATAAGAGCCTACAAAAAAGTGGGTTTGGGGTTCTTAAGGTAGGGTATCAGATGTCACCGGCACAGAAAATGCATATCCATAGCGCAAACACCGGAACGCGGCAAGCTTGAACTGCGGTGCCAGAAGCCCCGAAAGCCTCAACACCAAATCCAACCCGAAAGCCTAACCAGAGGCCTTGTGTTTAGAGTTTAGGATTTACCTTAAGAACCCAAAACCTACATTTTTGTAGGTTCTTACTATAAACCCTAATATGGGATTTATAGGGACCCTACAAAAAAGTAGGTTTGGGGTTCTTAAGGTAGGGGTTTAGGGCGGGTATAGGTTTGCATCGGGCAGTAGAGGTGCTGAAGCCGAATTCCTCAACCCAATGCTTGCTTTGCTACGCGTCTCATCACTGAGACTCCTTCCAAGTGATCTGCCCCTAACCGCCAAACCCCAAACCCTAAACCCTAAACCCTCCCTAACCCCCAAATCCTAAACCCTAAAGCCCCTAAATCCTGAAGTACGGAATCGGTCTTACGACCGGTGGCCTACAACCAGGCCCGAAGAGCAAACCGGGATCACCTCCTAGATCCTGAGCTCGGCTTAAGGCTTAGGGCTTAACCATCCTTTTTGCCGAACCCTTATACCCCTACACCCAGAAAACCCTAAACCCCTACACCCTAAATGGCCAAGAAGGGTTTGGGATTCAGAAATTAAACTTCAAAATCACCAACCCTTCTGGGCCGTTTAGGATTCAGGGTACAGTTATGCCCTGCAGGATTCAAACCAAGCCAAACCCATCGATTTCGGACATCGATTTGTGGGGCTCTTCAGAGGTCCGGCCCCTCGGTTCTGGGATAACTTCGCCTTGCGAAGGCCATTAGAATTGAGTACAGGATGTAATTGTTATAGGGCTTCGGTGTTTTGTTTATGTGTTTTTTTGGTGGGCCCTTTTGCAAAGGAATAGGAGGGTTTAGGAATTAAGAGGAAGGGAGCACCGAACAACGAGCTGTATGCTCAAACTTGGGAAACTACAAGACAAGGCATTTCACCGCCGGCAAAACCGACTGTACTTATCCACTACAACCCTAAACCCTAAACCCTAAAACCAAACTGCCTTTGCCCTGAACCCCTGGAACTGAACCCTAAGGCCTCATGAGTAGGACATCTTTGCCAAGTGGCGGCTTGTCGCAGGCTCCACGTCGCCGGCACCAAAGGCGCTGAGGACGGCACGGCGCACCGCGGCTGGCGCGGTCCAGCGCTCCTGCGGGGTTAGTTGGGGGGTTTACTTGGAGGTTCGTGGGAGTTAGTAAGTACAGTTATAAGTACCTTAATTGGGTTATAAGTAATTATAGGTATAGTTACCTTATTTATAACCATAGTTGCTAAGTCCCATGAACTCCTAAGTAGGGTTTAGGGTTTAGGGTTTTAAAATTAAAGATTACAGTTAGGGCTCGGGATTTAGTGTCTATATACTGAAGATCTAGAGTTTTGGGCTTTTCCGGCAACGCTGGTCACTTGTGACTTTGTTCTACCGAACTAAAACCCTGAGAACCGTTACTCAGCGGAAACCTTGATGTAGAGCACCTACCATCCAAAGTGGAGCTTGATGAAAGGGTCCCCATAAACTACCCGGAGACTCCAAAATCCCTTGATGAGGGAATAGACCTCAATTATAGAGCGATCCCTATTATGATTTAAGATGTGTTCCTTGCTGTGAGGGGTTTGAAATTCTCTGCCCCGTGAAACTATTTGCGCCTTCATGACCTTGGAAAATGCACTAGAAAACAAACGGCCAAACACTTGACAAACCATTCTGGGCTTGGAGTTTGCTGAGCTGCTTCCCAAATCCCAGCACCCCACTCCCGCCTTGCATTCTGCTGCCTTGGCGTCCGGAGACAGCCACCACCTTACTGAATTGAGATGCTGGGCTCAGGATTCCGGGATCCTAAATCCCAACCCTAAACCCTAAACCCCTAAACCCTAAACCCTAAAACCCCTAAAACCTAAACCCTAAACCCGAAACCCTAAAGTAGCTTCTTGCTCCATGAAACCCTCAGCACCGGCTAAAGCCCTACACACCAAAGTCTCCCTAAACCCTAGGCCCGCGGCCAGGCCGAACACTCTAAACCTTAATAGGGTTTAGGGTTTAGGGTATAGGGTTAAGGGTTTAGGGTATAGGGTGTAGGGTTTAGGGTTTAGGGTATATAGGGTTTACTGAAGACATCTTTCTGAACAAGTTCGGCTGGCTTTCCCTGATTTCGTGCAAGTTCGGCGCTCTCAGGTGTCTCTTGGACTGAAACGAAGATCACAACTGGGCCTTGTTTTAGGTTTTAGGGCTTAGGGGGACTAGGATTTAGGATCTAGGGTTTCGGGCTTAATGTAGGGCAGATTTATCGTTTCGGGGGCCGCCCAGAGGCCCGTAGGACGAGGAATTACCTGAAAAGCAAAAGGACAAGGCCTTGTGCGCATGTAGTCCTTGAAGGATTTAGGGTTTAGGGAATCAAGTAGAACCTGTCAAAAACCCTCCTCGAAAGCCCAGCTTGGCTGCCAAGATGCGCGGCTGCACCGCGTCCGCTCACCTCGCAACCTTGCCGGTTTAGGGCGAACCATGATGGGGGGGCTGGGGCAAGGGACGTTCGCGACAGGTGTCGTTTCCTGAAACATGCCCTTGTTTGCCTGGCATGCCGTATTAGTTATATTAGTAAAAACACGTCTAACAGTGTAGACAAACAAACTTATCAGTAGGCAGATAGATAGACAGCTCGATACACTGACAGACAGACAACCAGACAGACAGGTATATTGTGTCGAAACATATACATATGTATATGTGCGTACAGTATATACAAGATTCACATACATACAAGCATACGAACATATGTGCGTGCATGCATGCATATGTATACATACATATACATGCATACATACATGGCGACTTGCCCAGCAGAGACCCTCAGGAAAGAGACTACTTTTGTCTTCTGTTGAGATCTAAGACGGAGCCCCAGGGGAAAGGAAGGAAAAATGCCACTTGAGAGAACTCTAAACTAAACCCTGAATCCAAATTGCTGAAAAGGGGCTACGGACCCATCGACTATGGGGCCTAGAGCCAAGACCCCGAAGCCTGAAATTTAAGGCCGAAAGACCGGAAGCAATAAACCTGATAGCCCATCAAACCTTAAACCCAAAAGCCCTTTTACCAATAGCCCTAAACCCTAAACCCATACTAGAACCCTCGAACACCACAAACCCCCCGAAAATCCGAACCTCTGCTCCCTCATGCCCGAGGACGGCACTTTTCCGCAGGAAGCGCAACACCTGGAGTACTATACCCTAACTGTCCATGTACCCAAATGGTATATACTTTGGCCTGAATGTAGTCCCTATATAGAGGTACTTTAGGGCCAATGCTCTACTACTTGGGTACATGGACCCTTAATAATGGGGCCTTAATTAGAACAGGGCTTTGGGGCCCGTTATACTATAATTATAAGAAGCCCCCCCCCCCCCCCCCNNATAGTACTGGTAATTATTTAAGCCCCTATATTATATCCTAAACCCTAACTCCTAAACCCTAAACCCCTAATTTATTTAGGCCCCTATAGTATTAAGGGTTTCCAGGGGGTTTTGGGGGGGCTCCGAAATGACTAGGTTTGGGGATCGGCGCTTCGGGCCTCTAGGAACTTTTTAGGGGTTTAGGGTTTGGGGTGGAGCTTTTTGGGCTTTAGGGTTTAGGGTTTAGGGTGGAGCTTTTTGGGGTTTAGGGTTTGGGGTGGAGCTTTTTGGGCTTTAGGGTTTTTTGGGCAGCACAATCACTCTGAGCTCTTCAGGGTTTAGGGTTTGCGGTTTGGGGTTTAGGGTTTGGGGTGGAGCTTTTTGGGGGTTCGCAAAGTCTGTGGGCAAGGTGTTGACATGCTTTGCATTGAGGAAGCAATACTTTCTAGGGTCCTACTATGTAGGCTATACTTAAAGATTCAGGCTCGGGAACCCAAGCCGAACTGGTGCGTATCAGCAGGCTAGTTTCACAATGGTTGCCAGCTTCGCAAGCCGAATGAGCAAGCATAGCAGTGTAAAACTAGCGTCAACACTAAGCCCTAAACCGCTGCACCCCTAAACTCGAAAAGTCTTGCTGCTGTCATTGTCACAAGCACAGCTTACGCACTACTCTAACGCCATTAGCCACGAATCCGCATTGGCAAAGAATGTCAGAAGCCGACGAAGCCAAAGCCCCAAAACAACAGACATGGGGACCTTGATAATTTGAATGAGCTTTGATGTATTGCTGGACTGCAACTGACTAACTACAATTGTAATGGGAAGCGTGAGGAATAGCATGAGCAACTACGGCTTCTACATTAAGCATAGCGTAGCAGCCCCTACGGCTCTGGCTCATGTGCAGCCTCTATTATACTCACCTGTGGGTCCTAAAACCTCCTAAAACCTACTACTGGGAGGGTATGAACGGGCTATACCCTACAACTATGCGGTTCGTTCTAACCTACCAACATGCAGCCTTGGGGCTACAGGAATAGCATGTATCGTAACCAAACAAGTACAGAACACTGTGAGCCACCCTGATATTGTAGATCCCTGACCTCTGGGTTTATAGGGTTTAGGGTATGGTGATCCTAATTTTCTGGAGGCCCCTAGACACGAAACCCACTTCTACGTTGGTAAGACTCCGAAGCCCGAGAAGCTCCAAAACCCCAAACCTTAAACCCCAGACCCCTAAACCCTTTTGCAACGGCCTTGTCAGATCTCGACCCTAAACCCTAAACCCTGAACCCTAGGCCCTAAACCCTGAACCCTCAGCCTAACTCTGAAAGGCCATTATAGGGACTTGAAGGCTCATGCAGCTGCCAGCGGATGTCTAAGTGAGGTAGGAGCCTTTTTAATACTTAGAATAGGGCTTGTGGGTCCCATTATGCTATATATAATTATAACAAGGAACTCCTAAAACAGTTTTGGTACTCATTAAGGCCCCTTATATTATCTTGACCGGATGTTGAAGGACCTTTAGTATAGAATACACAAGAAACTTCGCCCTTTCGAGAGGATGACATGAACTTGAACCCTTGTTGGCATGCCTGACGAGCTTTACTAGGAAAAGGCTCCGTGCGATTCCATCGTAAAGGTCAGTTCAGGATAAGAACCCCGTGTAGCACCGATTAAATCAGTAAATAAAGCCAAAAGCGGACCTTACGAAACAGTCCACCTAAAACCCTCCACAGCATCCGCAAAAGGACTAAAACAAGGCAAACAGTATCTACAAAGCACACCGAAAAAATTAAAACGAGTCGCCCTTTGAAGCCTTATGCCCTGTAGAACCCTGATACAAGCAGGCCCTTCACAAAAGAACCCAGAAACCTAAACCCTAAACCCTAAACCCTGAACACTGAACCCTGAACCCTAAACCCTAAA